AGATACGAAATTAGAACTGAATTATAGAAACATGATTTTTCTTTAATTTCCCTTAACAGATTATAAATAAGTTCTCATGTAAGTTTATCATTTCAAAACACAGTTTTTAATATCTTAAATATTCCATTATGTATTTCCCATCAGTTTCCTTAATCTCTAATTTTGGACATATTATTTATGATTTTTACTATTGCAAATGTAATGAATAGCTTTGAATTTAAAGCCATTTCCCACATTTTATTATTCTGTTTATATGCCTAGATATATAGTCATTGAATCTAAGAATATGAATTTTTAAAACATAGGTAATAAGTTCACATGTCAAATTTAAAAGATATACTTGGAAAGACAGTGAAGTATCTTCCTTGCACCTTTCTGTCTGCCAGCCATCCAGTTCCCCTTTCTGGAGGCAGCCATTGTCATTAGTTTTTTTATATTTCTTTCCAGAGACATTTTAAGAGAGAGAGAAAAAGTGTGTGTGTAGGAGGAAGTTTAGATGGTGGATGAATTGACATATACTTTTATAAGAATTTAATCATACTATGCATACCATTTAAGATAAAATCAACTACATTTAATTTTACTTGAACTTAATAAAAGGAAGCTAAAATGAAACAGTACCTCCTTCATTGAAATGTTTCTTAACTAGAAGAAAAGATCTCTATGAGATTAAGAAAAAAGGTTGAGTAATATTTAAAAAATACTAATAATGTATAAAAGAAATAGAAATTGCCAGTAAAATGAATATTTTAGAACTCAATAATAATTGATATGCAGATAAAATGATTTTTTCCATCTTTTTTTTAGATTGGGAAAAATTGATAAAATGTACTTAAGAATGTGGGCAGTTGGAGTATTCTTGTGAGGGCAAAATCCTTTCTGGTGGAAGGCAATTTGGCAGTACCTAAAATTTTTAATTATTTACGTATAATATATATAGTTGGATATGCAATTTGATGTCTATATTTTTTATGAAGAGATAAATAAGCATAAAAGATACCTATCTGCCACTAAAAATGTCCATCAATATGGGATTATGATATATCCATTCAGTAGTACTTTACAGCTGTTAAAAGTGGTGATTTATTGTAGATTCGTATTTATTACAATGGAAATATGTCCTTCACATGCCCTTTTTATTTCTCAACAATAAGTAGAAGTGTGCCTAATGGGACCTGATTTATATAAAATTGTACGTGTTTATAGGTGTAGGCAGATTTTTGGAAATAAATACTCATTAAAATGGTTATCTCTGAGTGATGGCCTGTTAGGATTTTGTAGGGATTTTTCTTTTTTTGGTTAGGTTTCTTTATGCTGAATATTTATCATTTTTATACCTGAAAAAGAAAAGGTTTTTTTCCCCCCTTTCTGTACAAATGAATATGTCTAGTTTATCCTTTCTGCTTGTTCAATTATTTTGTGGATAACAAAAAATAACAGGTTTTAAGCCAGTACCTGATCAAGTACTACAAACACCTACGTCTAACGTCTGTAGAACCTTTGTCATACAGTACCTAAGGGCCATGGTTTGGGATGCTCTGCCATTGAAGTTACCCGGGAACTAGTTGAACTGGTATAGATGGCTGGGGAGTTCTGAACTCCAGAGCCCAGGGCATTGACTGGGATTTTTAATGCCACACCCTGCTGTAGTTAACTTCTTTAAAGACTTGATTTTAAAGAACAAAGTCAAGTTTGAACCTTTGTTTTGTTGTTTTGATATACTTTGTTTTTCTCAGCTTTATTTAGGTATAATTGACAAGTAAAATTGTAAGCTGTTTAAAGCATAATGATTTTATATATGTATACATTGTGAAAAGATCCCTTCCATCTAGTTAATTAACACATCCGTCACCTCACATATTTATTTGTGTGTGTGTGTGTGTGTATGACAACATTTAATTCTGCTCTCCTAGCAAATTTCAGCTATTCAGTACAGTATTATCAACTTTAGTCACCATTAGCACCTCAGACCTTATGTATTCATCTTATAGCTGAAAGTTTGTACCCTTTCATTAACCTCTCCCTATTTCTCCCATACCCTTGGCAGCCACTTTCTACTTTGTTTCTATGAGTTTGACTTTTAAAAAAAGACTCTACATAAAAGTGATACCATGCAGTATTTATTTTTGTTGACTTACTTTGGATTAAGAAAAGAGTATCTGAATTTATTGCATGCACCTGCCCTTGTTGAAAGACGATAGTAACATTAGAAATCAATTTCTTCTTTGCATCTATGTCAGGTATTGTCTTAATCGTTGGGTTGGAGGGAAGTAAAATTTCTGCCCTCTAAAATCTCACTCTCTAGTTAGAGCAATGGAACAGTCAAAGAGACCACTTCAGTGAGCCAGGTTATGGCAGCACACAGGAGGGCTTTTGACCTAGATGTTGATGAGTTTCTTGGGCTTGGGTGGCTGTTAAAGGGAGATTTTCCAGAAGAAACATTTGAACTGAATTTTGAATTTCAGTTCAGACATCTGAACAGAAATTTGAAAAATTAAATATGAAAATTAAAATTATCCAAACTAAAGAAAGAGATATGAGGGTAATGTAGGTAGAGAGAAAAGCCTGGAGGCATGCAGGGCATGGCACATGTTGGGAACTGCAAGTCGTTCAGCTTGGTTGGGAATTGAGGCAGTGCAGGCAAGAAAGGGAGGCAGGCGAGGCCAGATCATGAAGGGTCTTGTCAGCTGTCAGAGTATTCCTCTGGACTTCCTTGTAAATACAGTCTTTGTTAACGCAGGCTGGGAATCTTTGAGTCATCTTTGAGGCTCCCTCCCCCTTCCGTAAACTCCCTCATAATTAGGCACCAAATCTTGTCAATTTGGAGAACTTGGATTGAAATGGAATAATGACAGGCTAGGTATAGACTCTGTGTTCTTTATTGGAGGCTGTAGCTTAGCCTTTTTAATTTCTAGGGCTTAAAACTGGCTCACAGACCCTTAGTAAATGTTTAAATTGAAGGGAGTTCAAAAGAGAAAATGTTAGGTATTTTTACATGTAACCATGTATAAGTTTTCTATTCTCCATTTCCTTATAGAAAGTCTAATGGTCTTACAAGGCCTAATCGACAAGTCAACTCTTGAATAATTAAAAATCTTGAAAATGATGGGTAGTGAGGGTATAGCTCACTGGTAGAGTACGTAATTAGCATTCATGAGGTCCTGGGTTTAATCCCTAGTACCTCCATTTAAAAAAAAAATCTTGAAAATGGAACAGACCCATTTGTAAGATCTGTTTGATTAGTGCATGGTGGGTGAATGAAACGGTGTCATACTTAGGGAAGAAAAGTGCCAGACAGCTTTGAGCAATTTGATTTTAATGAATAGTTTAAATAGTGTATATGCCCCCGTTTTTTGTGGCCAAGAGCAACCTCCATGTGACTATTCCAGTGGAGATTAATTTTTTAGTTAGAGGAAACATCCTGAACATTTGTATTTATTGTTTTTCACTTGTTAGAGTTAATATTGTGGGAACATGGTTTCTTGAACTTATGGATATGTATGGTGTTTATTTTGTGTTTAAGTAGACTGTATGCAGAGATGGTTAACATTTGCAACAATTAGGCATTGTTTTAGTGAAATAATTGTGCCATTTTGAAAACAAATTATGTATCTGAGGCATATCTGTGAAGCAACTTTTATGATTACCAGCAACACAGCTGCTGTAACTATTAGTGGAATTGAATTTTTTGTTATTTGGGTCACATAACCAGCAACTGAACTTTTATACTTGTAATGATGCAAGACCTTATTAAGACATAATCTTAAAAAAAAAAGACAATATAATACAAGTAGAAGAGAGGTGTCTTAAAGAGTTTTTATATATAGCCTTAAGAAAAAGGTATTTGTTATCATATAAATCTAGAATGATAGCATTATAATTCAACTCATGCCTGTATTTATGTTTAGTATTTTTAAAACCCCTTTGTAAAAAAATTATAGGATAAATTAGCTTAATCCTACTGTCTTCCCCCTCAAAATAAAAAAAGAAGATATGAGGGTGTTTCTTCTACATTACCTCTAACATCCCCATTACTGCTACTTTTTAAAAAGTCTTTTATTTTTGGCTTATATCTAAATACATATCCTGTAGCTTGAAATGGAAAAGATATTTGCATATGTGGCTTCAAGTATAGCTCCTGTAGCCTGGTTAGTGTGGCTTCTTACAGTCTATTTATTGTAACAAGAACTCACTAAGATATGTACCTTACAGAGCTGATTAAAATGGAATTTTACCTGTAACTTTCTCTAAGCTGCCATTATCCTTTTGTGTATGGGTGGTATGATAAGTGAGTATTTTACTCATTATACACACTTAATCTTAAAACCGAGATGAACGTAATTAAATGGATAGATGAGCATTTTTTAAATGGACAGATATATAGTTGTCTTATTTTCTGTTTTTTTTTGTAGAGATAGTTGGAGTTGTAAGAAATAATACAGGGAGGTCTTTTGTACACTTTGCCCAGCTTCCCCCGGTGATAACATGTTGTAGAACTCTGTAATATTTTGACAGCGTACAGTCCACTGCTCTTGCTCAGATTTCTTCAGTTTCACTTGTACTCACTTATGCATGTGTTGAATTCTGTACTCCTTAGTCTCCTTTGTGTGTTTGTATACCCACCGCAGCCGTCAGGACACTGAATAGTTCCCTATCACAAGCGGCCCTCGTGTTGCCCTTTTTTAACACCTGCTTCTCTCCTGCCACTTTACTGTTCCTCCCCTACCTCTGACCACTGGCAACCACTAATCTTCCTTCTTTTTCTAAAATTTTGTAGTTTTAAAAATGTGTGAGTGAAATCACACAGCTTTTAACCATTTGAGATGGAATGTAATCACTCAGTGTAATTCCCTGGAGATTCATCCAAGTTTGTGAATCAATAGCTTATTCCTCACTCTTTATATTTAAGTTAGACAACTCCTCTATGTAGTTAAAAACTTAGTTTCTACTTTGTTTTCTTCCTATTCTATTTTTAAAATAAATGTATTTGCCTTATATCTAGGTGACAAAGCGAGACCGCCTTCCTCCAGCCCCTCCAGCATCATCCGCCGCACGTCCTCCCTGGATACGCTTGCTGCTCCGTACCTTGCAGGGCACTGGCCCCGTGATGGCCATGGGCAGGCTGCTCCTTGCATGAAGGACAAGGCTACACAGGTAGGTTTATTACAGTTCTTACCCTGACATGTGTCGCTCTGAAACCATTTCCCATAATATTACGTGTTCTACTCTGTACTCAAATTCTTGAAACATTAGTGTGTATTAGGATTGTCTGAGAAGCTTATCAGAAGTGCATATTCCTAGGCCTGAACTTCAGCTGTTCTGAGTAGGTTTTTGCTGAGGCTTGGGAATGTGCATTTTTAACAATTCCCAAAGTAATTCTGATACATACAGATAATTTATGGACAGACTCTTCTCCCACTTGCTCTTTGTGGGTAGGTTAGAGCTTCATGATACATTTACTATATGGAATTTGGACTTAAAAATCTGTAACAGTAAGGATTACTTTACTTTCCATCTACCCTTATATTTTTGTCCTAGAAATCTTCATGTGTTGGCGGGATGGTGGTTATATTACGTTTCTAACAGAGTCTATAAATGTAAATATCCTGACACAGGGACTCTAGAAGCAAAATTTGATACTTTTAGATTTATAAAAAATTTTAATTAAAAGGACTGTAAGAGATCATTTGATCTACCGCCTAGTTTTACAAATGAGAAAACTGAGATCCAAGATCATAAAGCCAGTTGCTGACTGCGTCTTGGTAGGGCCTAGTTTCTATCATAGCATTTAGTACATAGCACTTACTACTTTAATTATAATTAGTTAAATATTTGTCTAATCATTTATTTCATGTTTCTCATACTCAGTAGATGGTGAGCTCATGAAAGCAGGAACTATGTCTGGCTTGTCCATTCTGTATTTTCATCCCCAGGACTTAGTGCTGTACCTATTGGAATAAACACTTAAGGGATATTTGCAAAGGAATGAATGAGAACAGTTAAGGCTTTATGGCTAGTGAAGAATGAAAGTCATTTAAAGAGTTAAAAGGTTCTTTATACTGATTTTTTTTTGGTGGGGGAGTATTGGGATTTACTTACTTATTTATTTGGAGGCACTGTGGGTTGAACTCAGGACCTTGTGCATGCCAAACATGCGCTGTACCACTGAGCTATACCCTCTCCCTTATACTGTTTGTTGAAAATCAGCTAAGGTACATCTTGGCTTAGACTTAAATGAACAGCACTGATGTTTGCTTTATCTCAGCACTTTATGAGAGAATGTCCTTTTACAGGACCAAGTAAACATTTTGCAGTGGTTTTTGGATTTACATATAGGTTTCCAAACTTTAAGATGTTTTTGGTGGGCTTAGTTTGTTTTCTGTTCTGATTCTCTTGAAACTGAGCCCCATTGTTAGAGTAGATGCTTGGGATTTGAGATTATCTTGAGCTTTATACTCCAGTGGTAACTGCAGGAATGAAAATGCAGCCTTTGTTCATTAAAAGTATTGAATCTTTTAAGAAATTGTGCCTTTGTAAACCAAGGCGCTCTATAGGACTCTTCATTTATTCAAAATCCACAACTTTGCTAAGATTAGAGCAGTTTGTATAGAAAATGAGTACAGTCACTACTTGCTTTCTGCTTAATCCACGTGTCATGTTTAAGTAGTATGGATGTGTTTCCTGAAACTTTTCTGCAGTCCTCTTCATTTCCTCTGCAGTTTCAGGTTCAGTGGGTTCAGGTATTTTATCTGGTTTACCAGGAAGGATATGCAGTCTTATAAGCCATGGGGAGCCTCTTGATCTGTGAAAGTATTTTTGTAAGTCTTTTCAGCAAGTTGCTATGACCTAGCTCTGGCTGCATTGAATTAAAGTATAAACCCTATACTGTCTTCACCTCCTTCTAAATGTCCCTCAAATTGGGAATGTTAAGAGTATAAATGTAAAGAAAATTTATAGTTATCATACTGTTAATCTTGGACATAAAGCTCACATGTAGATTCTCCTAAGGCATAATAAGGCAATGAAAGCTGGGTCCTCCAACCTTTCATTTACGTTGTGGGACCTTGTCTTTGGTAAGTGAATTTAGCACTAACATGATTAATCAAAAGTTTTCACATTCCTTATTGGCAGATGTTGGATTCCCTAATGTATATATGCTAGTTAGTTAAGTGAAGTTTAGAAAATTTGGTAAAATAGATATACCAAATTTTGCTATTTTGACCATTTTGAAGTGTACTATTTAGTGGCTGTAATTATATTCACCAGGGTTGTGTAGTCATCACTACTATTTCCAAAACTTTCTCATCACCCCAAACAGAAACTCTGTAATCCCCATCCTTTCTGTAGCCTCTGGTAACCACTATTCAACTTTCATTTTCTGTGAATTCACCTAATGTAGGTATTTCATATAAGTGAAATTGTACAATATTTGTCCTTCTGTATCTGGCTCGTTTTGCTTAGCATAACATTTTCAAGGTTTATTCATGTTGTAGCTAGCATGTATCAGAACTTCATTTCTTTTCATGGCTGAATGATTCTCCATTGTATGGGTATACCACATGTTTTTCTGTTTATCTGTTTATAGACACTTGGGTTGTTTACGAATTTGGACTATTGTGAACAGTACTGAAGTGAACATTGTTGTACAGGTATCTGATTCCCTTCTTCTAGTTCCTTTTGGTACATATCTAGGAGATAAATTGCTGGGTCCTATGTTTAGCTTTTAGAGGAACCACCAAACTGGTTTGCACAGCAGCTGCACCATTTTACATTCCCATCAGCAGTGTATAAGGGTTCCAGGTTCTCCATATTCTTACCAACTCTTGTTATTTTCCTTTTTTAAACAAAAATTATAGCCATCCTAGTAGGGTGCGATGGTATCTTGTTTTGATTTGTATTTCCCTAATGATTAATGATGTTGAGCATCTTTTCATGTGTTTATTGGCAATCTGTATATCTTCTTTGGAGATCAGACACTTTATTAACATCTCTGTGCCACTATTTCCCCATTTTACAATGGGGAAAATAATACTTACTCTTTAAGGTTAATATGAAGATTAAGCAAGGAAATAGATGTAAAACTCTTAGAACAGTATCTGGCGCATAGTAAGCATTCAATAAATGCTCACTATTAAAATGATTACCTTTGTTGTCAGATTAGAACAAAGATGGTATATAAGTTTCATCTCCTGTGTAGTTTGTCAGTTACTGTTAGCTTCCTGGAACATTATGTTGAAAAAGATTTAGTTAAAGATTACTGGGACTGATGAGCAATTTCTGCCCCTGCTGAGGGATCCTGGGCACTTTTACCATCCGTGGTCCAGACAGTGCTACAACAGACAAGATTGATAGAAATGATTTATCTCACGTTGTAGATGGGTGGTGCTTCCAGAAAGTTGCTGTAGACTTTTGACAAGTCATATGGTATAACCACTCTGAGCCTTGGTTTCTTCATTCAAAAAAAATTATGACACTAAGACCCTTCTCAGTGTCTGGGGAAAGAGTAGGAATGGGAGAAGAAGGTTGTAGAAAATACGGAGAAGGGCAGCATCAAAAAAAATTAGGAATATAGGAACACAGGTTTTCTCCCACCCCATCCCATCATTTGCTTTGGTCATAAGAATGAGTGAAAGGTTACGATTTTACTGTACATGATTATTTATCATCCTAATTACTTGACACAAAGGTAGCGAAAATGCGGCATCATTTTTCTCGTGTATCTTTGGCAGACATTGTGAGCTCATATGACCTGAGAGTTTTTCCTAACCCATGCTGTTGCCAGTGGAGCAAGGGTGGTCAAGAGACTAATTGTATACACTCTGATTTGTCATCTCTGCTTTAGAGTTTGGCACAGAGTTTAATACATTGTCACCAACCTCTGCCAGCTGTCCCTTCTCCTCCCATGTTTTTTAAAAAATTGACCATTTGTCCTCCAAAAACATTATTTTATGCTTTATAGTCCTGGCATTATCTGTGTTGCAGTTCTGTTAATTTCATGTAATCTATCTAACTTCTGGGGAGGGTGCCTTTTTAATTTTCTGCCTATACCAAATTAGGGGGAGAAAATGTAATGTTTGTGTAATTGAATTATTTGGCTTTCTTTTGAGTCAAAATGTATCCTCTTCAGAACTTTGCTAGCCCCCTAGGCTTCCCTACCTTACAGGTTGCTTGTTTGAATATGTGAATTTGTGACTCGTGGTTGGTCTCTGGTTTTCTTTCTTCTTTGTTTCCTTTACTGCATAAACCAGTAATCTTTTGCTTTTAAAAAGTACATTGTTACCTTCTCTTAGAACTTCTGCATTTCAGAGACTGTTTTTTTTCTCTCTTCAGAGATTGATTTTGATTAATAACTTATTAAATTGTTTTATTTTTCCAGTTTATGCATTGGCTTGAAATTGTTATCTGAGTTCAGAAACTTTGTAAGATGGCCTGTGATTAAAACCTAATAATAGAGACTAAAATAATGTTGAATTACTGAAGGTGCTATTTGTAAGTCTACTAACCTGTTTAGAAGTCGTTTCCTTTTTTTGGAAGGATAATCTGGATTTATAGCAAAAATAGAAATAACTATTTTACGTGTTTCATATAAGCAACACTAAAAAATTATATCTTAGTGTTATGTAATGAAAGTACTGAAGCGGTACATTAACTTTTTAAAAAAATTACTTTTTGAGTGATTCTTCCTATTGAATGAAAGCTTGGTCCACTGGTTAAAATTGGAGTATAATATTAAGAGGAAAAGAAAATGTTAAAATCTTCCCCTCCCCAAACTTAAAGTCTAATGGCCTCAATAAAAGTACCTTTCGATAGCTTTGTCTTCTTGGATAAGCCCAAGATTCTGAAATAATCTAAATTTCCAGATGCTTTACCATGTGGTTGGTGTTCCTGCTTTTCTTTTTTTCCCCACATGTTAGATCAGATTTCTCTAGGCCAGTGGCTCTATAAATTGTGTTTTTTTTTTTTTTAAACAGGACAGGCTGTAGTGTAACAAATGGAATTACATGATGGAATCCTTTAAAACAAACACAGTTTTGTGATTGTGTAACCGGTTAACTGATTTTTTTATCTATTAAAAATAATTTTGAAACTATACTCCCACCTCTCAGTAATGAGCATGCAGTGCCCTGCATACTCCACTTGCTGATACTTCGCAGCTTTTCTGCTCTGTTTGGAATGCTTTCCCACCATTTGCCTGGATGACTTACACTCTGATGCTCATAGCAGCCTCCCCTCATCCCATAAAATCTTGCCTACCTACTTTCCCTGTCCTTCCAGTTCTGGATTGGGTGCCTTTCTTAGGGGACCTCAGTCATCACATGATATCATAATTGGCTGTTTGTTTCTTTTCTTCTAGAAAAAGTACTTTGAGAATAACAACTGTATTTCCTAACTCCAGTACCTAGTCTAGTGCCTTCTAGTATTAGAAGGTGCGTACTAGCTTTCTAGTGTACAATGCAAGATTGAACAAAAATGAAGCATACTTAAAACTCAATTGTACTTTTTATTACTACCTAAGAGTATCTTACAATAAAGGCACAGCTTCTTAATTGAACAGAGAAAGCAATTATCTTTTGAATTAGGAGTTCAAGTAAAATTAATGACTTTTACTGAGTATTTTTTTTCTGCCTGAACATCTTGCAACTGAAATTAGCAAAGCTCTTTTACTCTTTATACTTATTTTTATTTGTCTTGCCAATTAATACTCCTGTTTTCATCTTTAATTTGTTCTTAATCTGTAGGAAACACTCCTTTGCTTTTCCTTGAATTAATTCTTATTCTTAAAATTAATACCTTTAGTGATTTCTCTAATTTTAAAAACTTTTTATTTTGACAAAAGCCTCAAGTTTATAAAAAAGTCACAAGAATAGTAGATTGAACACCAATAAACTCTTCATTTATATTTACCAGTACGTTTTTTCCGTATTTTGCTTTATTTCTTTGTGTGTATGTAATTATTACTGTTGTTAGTTTTTAATTGTTTACAATTTACATACATTCTGACTCTTCTCAAATACTTCAAGATATATGTAAACAAAGACTTTAAAATATTACCAGTATAATTTCCAAATTCAGGGGATTTAACATTGATACCTTGCTGTTATTTGATATGTGGTTTGTAGACACATTTTTTCGATTTCCCCAGCGATGTTCTCCATAGCGATTTCTCCTATAACCTGGGATCCAATCAAGGAGCACACGTGGCATTTAGATGTCATGTTTCTTGAGAATCTTTTAATCTGTAACTGTTTCTCAGCTTTTCTTTGACTTTTGTGACCCTGATATTTTTTAAAATTGCAAGCAGTATTTTTGTTGAATCTTCTCAACTTTTTATCTGTTTTTTTCATAATTAGATTCAGTAATAATATTTTTGGCAGGAATGTGATGTGTGTTCCTCCATACATGTGCATCAGGAGGTGCATGGTGTCAATAATGTTAAGTTTGATCTGCCAGATTCCCTCTGTAACTGTATGGACGTAATCTGTGGGGAAGTATTTGAGACTGTAAATACCCTGTTCCCCAACAGACTTCCTAAAAAGTGTTTGTTGATGATGCTTGCTTAAATCAGGAATTCCTATAGTAGTTACAAATGGTGATTTTCTAATAACTCTGTTGTCATTCTGCATTTGTTTGTCTAATACTTTTTGGAAGAAATATTTCTTTATGGAATTGTCCTAAATAGATTTTTATAAAATGTCAATTGATATGATTTAAGATTTTTCCTCTTTAACTTTTTTACTAAGAAAGTGTTCAACATACAGAACAATCTGAAGGATATTATACCTGTCATTAGAGTCAGCAGTTTTAAACATTAGCCATATTTGCTTTACCAGTCTTTGTCTTTGTGTGTATTTGCTGTACTTTCTGAAATTCTGTTGTTGCAGGTATCATGACACTTTATCCCTAAATCCTTCAGCATATATCTTATAAGAATAAGGAAACTTGCTGTATAACCACAGTAGCATTAGCTCACTTAGGAAAATTAATAATTATATAATATCGTGTAACAACCAGTTCATGTTAAACTTTACCCAAGATTTCTTTTTTTGAAACGGAATCCAGTCTTAGGTTCATGCATTGTGCTTGGGTCCTCTGAGACCTTTTTGATTTAGAACAGCTCATTCTCATACTTTCTTTTGGTCTTAATAATATTTAGTTATTTTATGAATTATCCTACATATTTGTAAAGGAGATATTTCATCATTTTTCAGTTAGCAGGTAACTGTAGAGTACTTTTTTGCACCAGCTGAATACCCTGTTCCCTAGTAACTTTTCATTTAATGGTTATAGTGTCCATTGATGATCCTTGCCTAAATTGGTTATTTCCCTGGAGGTTGCCCCCAAAAGAGTGATTTTTTTTTCCTTAAACACAAGATAGCATATTCTTATGCAACTTTGTTTTTACTTAAGGACATTACTCTATCCACTTAGAAAAATTTCCCCTTCAAAGTTTTTTTTTCCCACCTTATATATAAAGAGGTTTTGAATAGGCTATACATTCATTTATATGGTACAAAATTCAAGAGGTGCAGAAAAATATACAGTGAAGGATTTCCTCCCCATGAGGCAACTACCGATACAGCTTCTTTTGCTACCATGTAGATTCTTCCAGAGATACTTTACATGTGTGTATATTCTTTCTAGCCATCCTATCTATAGGTAGTTGCTGTATATGCTATACTGAGCCTTGAGCTTTTCATTTAACACTATTTCATGGAGATTATTTTGTATTACAACAGTACTTCCTTGTTCATTTTTTATAGGTGCATAGTATTCTGTTGTAAAGACAAGCCATATTTTATTTAGCCAATTCTCTATTTTTGTAATCTTTTATTTATACAAATGGTGCTTGCTATAGCGAATAATGTTATTTTGTGCATAAAGATATAAATTTTGTACATTTGCAGTATAAATTTCCAAAAGATGGGTTGTTTTGTCAAACAGTATGTGCATTTGTAACTTTGACAGCAGTTGCCAAATCCCCGTCCATAAAGGCTGTACTAATTTTGCATTCCCACCAGCCACGTAGAAGAGCAACTCGCCTGGTCTCAGTGAAGTTTTAACTTGTATTTCTCTTTTTATGGGTGAGATTGAGCATATTTTCTTGTGCTGAGAACTAATTTTTTTCTTAGCAATGTTTTTAAATTCTGGATTTTGTGTAACCACCAAGGATTTAACATTTTTGAGGATATACTCTGCAGATGTTTAAAGCAAGAAAAGACAGTTTAAGATTATGAGCTCTGTAGTCTTAGGTTTATATCTTTGGCTTTGCCACCTCTAGCACTTCCTAGACCTGGACCTAGAACCTCTCATTGTCACAGCTTCCTTCCAGAACTTGTAGAACTTTTTGTTTGTATTAAATCAGATAATACAGTGACAATCTTTCGCTGTACTTTCATAAAGCACAGTGCCTGGCACATAATAAGATCACAGAAATGTTAGCTATTACTAGTATGCATTTGTTCAATATATGTTAATACTTATAATGATGTAAAAAATAGCTAATTTTTACTAGTAATAGAAATGAGAGAAATAGGCTAAAATATTGCAGTTAAGTAACTGGTACTGGGAGAATTATGGGCAATTTGTGTTATTTTACATATTTTATAATACTGAGTTTTTCTGTAATGGGAATATATATTTAATAGAAAAATACGGCATACATTTTTTAGAAAGGTAAGCATATATTAGGCTTATTTGAGATATAAGTGACATATAACACTGTATAAGCTTAAAGTATGCAGAATAATGACATACATCTATTGCAAAATGATTACCACAATAAGTTTTGGTAGCATCCATCACCTCATAGAGTTACTAAAAAAATTCTTTTTTCCTTATAATGAAAACTTAGAATCTCCTGTCTTAGCAACTTTCAAATGTATCATAGGGCAGCAGTGTTAATTGTAACCTTTATGTGGTATGTTACATCCCCAGCACTTACTTCTCTTATAAACAGGAAGTTTGTATCTTTTGACCATCTTCATCCAATTCCCCCTCTCCCTACTCCTGGCTCTGGTAACTACAAATCAGATCTCTTTTTCTGTGAGTGTTTTTTTAAATTCCACAGGTGAGATCTGACAGTGTTTGTCTTTCTCTGGCTTATTTCATTTAGCATAATGCCCTCAAGGTCCATCCATGTTGTTGCATTATTGTTAAATGATTAACTGTTTTATTGAAACCTCTTCCTTCTTTTCCCCACTATAGACAGAGAGTGCATGGGCTGAAGAATACTCTGAAAAGAAGAAAGGGTCTCACAAGCGTTCAGCGTCCTGGGGCAGCACAGATCAACTTAAGGAGGTCAGGAAAATGGTTCCAAGGAAGTGGGTGTGGAAATTTGATCCATTGGCTAGTTCCTTAAAGTTGTAGGCAGCAAGGATTTGTCAAATTTCCATTGCTTTTTTTTAATTTTGAGGGATCTTTTGATGGTTGTTTGTTTACTTGAGAAGTAACAGAAGAACTGTTACTATGTTGATTGGATAAAGATTTGAATGGGGACATGTACACATAACTTACCTAATTATGTGTTAATTCATTTCCATTTTAAGGAGAGTGCATAGTTGTTAATATCATATAAATATCAGATATATAAGATTGTAGTGATACAACAAATTCACATTTATTATTTCTATGTACAAAGGTAGTGTTTCTGAAATTCAGTAACCCAGTATAGCCAAGTTGATCATGGCCCTATGCTATGATTACCATTTTCTATGCCTCTAATTATGACATTTTAATTTTACACATAATGTAGAAATAAAACAGAAAATTCAATCAAGGAATAATACGAGATATTGATTGAAAGTGTATTTGTTATTTAAAGATAGAATCTGTGGGTTCAGTTCATGGCTTGAATTGATTTTTAAATAATACTATATGCTTTTTGGAGCTTTTGAAGATTAGGTATTTGAAAAAGATCTAATTCTAAATAAAATGTGACTCATTGTAAGGGCAATAAAAGAGTAATTTTTTTTTAATTTGAAAAAGCTATAATGTAATTTATTCTAAATGCTAAAAACCTCTTTTGGCTGTATTTGGAAAGCTTGAAGGCTCAGAACAATGTTGGAACTTTTTTTCTTTAAAAGAAAAATATATTTATGCATGTACATATATGTTATGTGTATATATATAAATTTTGTACAATAAAGCAGATTTTGTGGTATGGTTTAAAAACTCAAAAGATAGGCAGAATTTTACAGGTTCTTATTAAACAAGGATATGTTTTATGTAACGAGGAAAACACTCTGACACACTTATTATTTTTCTCATTTTCAGATTGCAAAATTACGCCAGCAATTGCAGAGAAGTAAACACAGCAGTCGGCATCATCGAGATAAAGAAAGACAGTCTCCATTCCATGGCAACCACGCAGCTATTAACCAGTGTCAGGTAGGAGCACGAATGTCACAAAATCCAGATGAGGGGTTTGTTGTTTTCCTGGTTATATGTTACTTCCTAGGTAACTGTTTAGGGTAAAAATGCCCAAACACATATTTGAAACAATGATTAAATACTGAATCACAGCCTTCGTTAAAAAATAACAACGACAATAGAATATTAAGTTGACAAAATGGTAGTTTCCTTTAGTGATCTGTGAGGTCACTTTCAGGGGATATAACTAGTTACACATTTTAATTGACTGTATTTTTATCTTTGTCAATGTAGTATGGGAGGCAATGTAGTATTGAGAGATAAGCATGGCTCTGGAACCAGACCCTGGATGACTGACCTGTTCCTTCTAAGTCTCACTTTCCTCTGTCTGAAGATAGAAGACCTGTCGCATAAAGTCTTTGTTAAAAAAACTTTTTTTTGTTAAAGTACAGTCAGTTACAATGTGTCAGTCTCTGGTGTATAGCAGAACCCTATGAACTGCTATTTGGCTCGCTCAGGGAGCATTTCTCTCTAACAGAATTGAAATCATATAGGGTCCCTTAGCAAGGAGAGAGCAAGAAAAAGTTCACCAGTGCCTTTTATAGGTCGATAGCTTCTGATGATTGTCAAGTATATGTGGGTTGTTTTCAAGAGAAAGTGTGGGTAGAGGTGTATACTTCTTTTCAAGCTAGTTGTGTCCTACAATATTGATATCACAAATTTATAGTTTGATTGTAGTTTCCAATAGCTTTTTCCATATATAAGGCATTTAAATTTAAGTATGAATATACACTGATACATTTTAAAACCTAAACAAACTGGATTTCTATTTGGAGAAATAGAAAATGCAAAATTGGCAAAATAAGAAATGGAAAATTTGAATAGACTAATAATTATGAAAATTGAAATACTAATTATTCCACTCACTCTCAAAAGGCTGTAGACCCACATGGTTTTACTGGTGAATTTGCCAACCTTCACTCCCTCTAATTCATCCAAAAATAATTTAGATGTATTTCTGAGAGATAAGGCCAATTTTTATGTCCAATCCATATTTTTACTACAAGTAGCATAGAGGTTAAAATTGAATTTTATTGAATTATGTGATAGGTTTTAGCAGTTTATAACTTCTCGAAGTAATTTTTAAAGTTGCATTAAAAGCAGCAATTAAAGCAGTAAAATTACCCCCCAGAAATTTTTTCCCTTGCAAATTGAATTTACTTAATAAAAATTATTGGAGTTGACATGATCTTCATGTTTGCCTAGAAAGTGAGGACTAGAAAATACAGTAACTTGAAAAATAAATTCATATAGCTTGACTTCTGTACACTTTGACACACCAAACACAAGCACTTCACACATCGAACAAAAACATGAAACACCAAACTTGACTGCTTGACTAGCTTTATTGAGTGTTAATAGCCAACCAGAGATCAGGCACATGTGCATTTTGATAACTATGGCAGTGGTGTGCATATTTAATTGAAACTTTCTGACTATGCATGTAAAAATATTATTCATTAAGTCAAAGGTGTGGTTTTCTTTAGTGGGTTCTCTACCTAGTGGAGAAAAGTACCAATTTGAGATGTGTGTACTTTTGAGGTCATTCCTCCATCCATGCATCGTTTATTAAATATCTCCCATATGACTGGTACTGTAGTACTTTTTGAGGATGCAGTAATAAATGAAATATTGGGGCTTTCCCCCGCCAAATCTCAAATAGATATAGGTAAACAGGTAACTTCTACAGGGTATAATGAATGGGTTGATCAGGGAATGTTCATAGCGCTATGGAAAGGGGATTTTTCCTTGGACTGGCTACGGAGACATCAAGAAAGGCTTCTAGAGAAAGTGGTGTCTTGGTGATCCCTGAAGGTTAAGTAGGGTTTAGCCAGTTCTCTGGAGGTAGAAGAAATCATGGCTTCAGGTAAGGGTGGTAGTAAGAGATTAGGCTGGATGGTGAATAGCAGCCAGACCAGAAAGTCTTCGTGTCTCAGTTGTCAAGAGGTTTGGACTTTGTCCTGGAGGCACCAGAGAACTGTTTTCTAAAATGCAGGAGGTTGATAGTTGATCAGATATGCATTTTGTAATGATCATTATGAGTCCAGAGTAGAAAATGAATTTGGAAGAGGACAAGATTAGAGGCAGGAAAACCAATTGAGAATAGAGTTATAATCCAAGTAAGAAATGATGGTGACCTTACGTGAGGTGGAATCTATGGAGCTGGAGAGAATGGACAAACCTGAGTGATATTTAGAAAATAGTAATTAATTGTTGAACTCTATAAAGGGCTTACCACACAGCAGACACTCTACTCAGCTTTTATATATATTATTAGCATTTAATCTTCATTTTTGGCATGGAGATTGTTATTATCCCTAATTTACAGATAGAAAATTAAGGCCCAGAGAGGATCAGATACCTTGTTCAAGGACGCATGAGACAGAGCTGGGATCCTAACCAAGGCATTTTGACTTCAGAGTCTGAGTTTTTAAATTTTGTTAGCTGATGGTTGATGAGATTGGAATGATGGAGACATAGGAGTAAAAGATAAGGCCAATTTGAGCCTTTAAAAACATGATTTAAAAAATATACCTACCTACCTCATACCACATACAAAAGTAACCCAAAATGGATCAAAGACTTAAATCTAAGAGCTTGAAGTAAAATCTCTTAGGTGAAAGCAAGCATAAATGTGATATTGGATTTGACAGTGGTTTGTTAGATGTGACATCAAAAGCAACAACAGAAAAAGTAAGTAAATTGGACTTTATCAAAATTAAAAACTTTTATTTCAAAGGACGCCATAAAAGAAGTGAAAAGACAACCCACAAAATAGATGAAAATATATACAAATCATATATCTGATAAAGTACTTGTATCTCAAATATAAAGAGCTCTTGGAACTCAGCAGTAAAAAAACAAACCAACCAACCAACCCAATTTAAAGTTGGGCAGTGGATCTAGATAGAGAGTTCTCCAAGGAAGATATACAGATAGCCAGTGAACATGTGAAAAAAATCAGCATCATTTGTCAGTAGGGAAATGCATAAAAATTCCAGTGAGATACTACTTCATACCTATTAGGATGGCTAAAATTAAAAAGACAGGTAAGTGTTAGTAAGGTTGTGGAGAAATTGGAACCCTTACACATTGCTGATAGAAATGTTAAATGGTGCAGCCACTTTGGAAAACAACCTGGTAATTCCTCAAAAGGCTAATAAATAAAAAGAGTTATGATATGATCCAGCACTTCCTCTCCAGGTGTGTACCCAAGAGAATTGAAAACATGTTCACATAAAAACTTGTACATAGCAGCATGGCTCACAATAGCTAAAATTTGGAAACAGCCCAAATGTCCATCAGTTGATGGATGGATTAATAAAATGCAGTATACCTACAATGGAATATTATTCAGTCATAAAAAGGAATGGAATACTGACCAATGGGTGAACCTTGAAAACGTGCTAAGTGAAGAAAGACGCCAGACACAAAAGAACACATATGATTCCACTTACATGATATGTCCAGAATAGGCAAACCCATTGAGACTGATTGTAGATTGGTGGTTACTTAGAGCTGGGAAGGTTGGGAGGAAATAGGGAGTGACTACTAATGGGTGAGGACTTTTTTTTTAATGTGATTCTAAAATTAATTGTGATGGTTGCACAACTCTGTTCAATAACCATTAAAAAAGCAAAAGTTGTGCACTTAAATGAGTGCATTTATATGGTATTGTGACTCATTTTTCAATAAGTTGTTACAAAAAAAAATCTACCAACCAACATAAAAAATGAATAGATAAAATACAGATATAATTGCTTGGAAATAATAGATAAGATGGTAAAAAAGAACCCAAAAGTAACCTGGGAGGCCATATAACAGTGTAGAGGATGAGCACAGGTGCTCTGAGATCAAACTGTTCAGCTGAAGATCTGGGTCCTGCCACTTGCTGGCTGTGTGATGTTCCTCAGGTTCTCTGCATTATAATATTACCTATTGGTTGTGTTGTCCCGAGGACTAAATGCAATAGAGTGTTATAAAACAATTCATGCAATTCTTGGCACATAGTAATTGCTCAGTAACTCTTAAGCCATTAAAGGTAATACCTTAATATAAAAGAGGTAAACTATTGGGCTTTTCACTAGGCTTCTCTGCCAATTTCATATTGAACATATTTTCTAAAGCTGTTATTATTATAAAAATATTTACATGCTTATTGCAAAAATTTTAGAAACTAAAAATGTCAAGTAGAAAAACTGTATCTTAATCAAGCTGTTAATTTTTTAAAAAAATATCAAATAGAAAAAAAAAAATCCAGTCTCACCCTCTAAAGACAGCTCTTCCTGACATGTTTCGTCTTTTTTTCCTTTCACATTCCATGTTGAGATCATACCATGTATTAGACTGCCTATGTTTGTTTGTTTATTTAGTGTGGAAAAAATGTTATTACAGATGTTTCAGGAACACTTTCAGTGTTTCAGATTCTGTAGAGCATTTCCCTAATTTTGTCTATTTAGTTGGGTGTAGTTCCTGTGTGCTTAAGGTTTTTTCTATATTATACTTTTCTAGGGATAGATTTTCCATTATTTGGTTAAGAAGTTTGAATACTTTGGAGGCTCTGACTTTTTTCTTTATAGGCTTTCCCACTGATTACAGTTTTTCTTGTTTGAGTTCATGATACATAGATTATTTTTACTGGGAAATTCCTTTAGTGCCTCTGAACAATCACAGGACAGTATTGCTCTGCTGATGGGGTGTAGTCTATAACCATTAGTTAACAAAAGATCTTTTTCTTGGACTTACAATTGATTTTTTTTTACAGTTAGGAAAGAATTCTCACATACTTTTTTTGAGTGGTTCTTTCCCTGGAAATTTACTGGGGAACTATTTATTAGGAAGAACAAATGCTGAGTTTTTTAGAAGACAGAGACTTTTCACATGTCACTGATTTCCAAAATTGACAAAGCCTTCAGATTCTTAAGATGTCATATTTTTAAGGAGTTATTTCAAGAAAT